CCCCAAAACCCCAAAACCCCAAAACCCCGAGATGATTGATAATAACTCTAATTTAAGAAATTTTTCTTAATCCAAAATAAATAAAAGTCTTAAAATATAATAAATGAGTGTCTAAAGAAGACCTTTCGACTAGTCTTCAATATATCAAGGTGGCAAGCATTCAGTTATTCTGAACGATGATACACCTAAAATTGCTCTTTCAAAGCCTCTCAATAAAAGAAAGGATTCTTTTAATAACTATTAAAAACTGATCATTGACAATTAGTCAAATAACTTCAATCCCTCAGATATATTAAGCGTAAATAGTCCAAGTTTTGTGTATCCCTAACAGCAATAAAAGACCCCGAAAACTGAATACAGTCTGTGAGGGCCTGCCACAAATACAGTATTGAGTGCTGAGAGGACAGCATTCTATGAGTTTTCAGGTATGAATATAACCCAGGATAGAGGAGGACCTGGTAGTCTTGGTCTCAGTTACGATAATTAGGATACTAATCTTACGAATGACTAAAAGAGGGGAAGTAATATCAATCACTATGATATTAGCTCAGTCAATAATTAGAGTGTAAACTAAGGTTCTTCTTTTCATGTACCTTAAGTAAGACTACCATTTATCAAATCAATAAAAGAGGATCAACATTCTAGCCTTAAAAATCCTGAAAGGTAAACGAGGAATACAAATGATGCAGCCATTGCAGATGAGCTTGAAAGAAAAGCCCAAAAAATTGTATTACTTACAGATAATAACTTCCAAAAGCTAAAAATGAAAAAGAAAAACGGAATGACCTAAAGATAAAAAGTTCAAACATCTATTCTTGATAAAAATAATGACACCGAAGCACTTCAAAGAAATGAGAAATATATAACAAATCTTCATAGTAACTTAACGGTGAATGGTTAAAAACAAGAGCTGATTCTACCAAATTAAAATCCTAATTTAAATCAAAGTCCTGATATTCCCCTTTAAAGTATCCTTAAAAAGAAATACATCAGAGGAATCACCAAAAGCTAAGAACCTGGGGTATCTGATTCTTAAAATTCCACCTCAAGAGAAAATTACAACCTATCTTTACAGTAAATATAGAACATTATTTAGCCATAGGTGGTAAGCAAGTATAATCACCAGTTCTCGAATTTAAGAACTGCAGTTAGGGCTTCAAACTCAATGGCAATTACAGATGAACAAATTAATATCAATCATTAGTTCAACATAAAGTTAGAGTAAAGGGATGCCCTCAGGAACAAATTTCTGAATATGCATGATAAATATCCTTATTAATCTGTTCACGACCATTTAGATTAAGCAGAAAGAAGAGTTGCTACTCCAAAAAATATGAGGGAAAGTTCTGTATAGAACACTCATCGATAAACACCTCAAGAAAATGCAAGATAAACTAATGCAAGTAACTATGGAACAGAGAAAATCCCAATAAGTGGGATTGGGTTCTAATCTCCAAGTTTAGAGTACAAAAAAAAGAAAAAAGATTATTATCATCAATCTAGCGTGACACATGGTAAAAATAATTTAAATCAGCCATCATAGCTGAATTCATAGTATATTTCATTCTAAAAGTAAAACTCATTGGTAAACTCAGGGAATAATACTCAAACTCATCTTGATTATGCCTAATAAAAATTAGCTTCTAACATGAATTCTTTGATTATGAAGCATCATATGAATAGGGGAGGCAATCCTCATCTCAGTTTCGCCCAAGTTCTTAAAAATATGAATAATAAAATAAACTACAATCAAGTCCCAGTAACTAACATAGAAAACTCTGACTCTAAAAATGACAATAAACAAGGATAAGAAAGATAGTTTCAAATATTGATAAAATCATCATCTTAAGACATAGAGTCAATAAATTTTGCCACAGCACATGGTAGCCAAAAGGTACTGGGAATGCAACAAAACAATCCTTTTGATAGCAATCAGTCTGTAAAAAATGAAAATCAAAATCTTAAAAAGAACTTTAATAATGAGATAAACACAAGATACACTTATAATCACATAGAAAAGAAAAAAGTACTTAATGCTGATGAGCTCTATGAAATGGCTAAGGCTATAAAATAGTAAAATAAGCTTAAGTAATAATAATAGGCTGAACTATAGTCAACTTCAGTTAATAGAAGTCAGGACAATATTACTTAAAACCAAACCATCCTCAATCTCATGAAAAGCTCAAACTAGAATCAGGATTTCAGCAAAAATAATCCAAAATTCCTAGGGGCATTGAATATATAGAAAATACAGCAAAACTCATAAAAGAATAATGGAGATGGATATCAAATGAAAATAAAAGATATGTAATTAGTTGGTAAATACTCCAAAAAGAGTCAGAATTTACTATAATAATATGAGGAGTATGTCTAAACAAGCCTAGCTAATCACTATTAAGGGTCTAGAAATCAATACGTTAATCTAAACAATAGCAAGAGAAGTGCCAGGGAAAATATAAAAACTGGTGGGACTATATAAAAAATCAATTAATCTGTTGACTTCTCTGTCACTGCAGGAGTTACAGCTCAATAAAGTTTTTCTGCCTAGCATCTTATATAAATATAAGAGATTCAACCTTTAACTAGAACAACTACTGAAGAAAATGGGAAGAAAGAGAATCATCAAAGAAATCATCATCAGTAAAGTTAATAAAATACCTAATGTGAAAAAAATAATAGAAAAAGAACTACAATCGATGAGGAATAGTTTAGCAAAGAAGATATCTATGAGGGAACAGATGAGGAACAAAAAGAGGTTACTAAGCAACAATAAAATGCCTAGAGATCTCAGTAATTTCATATAGTAAAAAGTTAACAGCAACAATAGAAAGCTAAATAAAAGCAGTAAATTATCTAGGAAATTGACAGACTTCTATATGGATACCTCTGGGATAAAGAAGCTAAAATACCAAATAATAAAAAGAAGTTGGAAATAGATTTTCATGATATGACCAATGGGGATTTCCAGAATCATCCTATTAATAAAGCTATTAGGTAGATGAGTCTAATGTCTAATTTGATGTTTAAAACCAAGGAATATGGGTAACTTTAATCAGAAATATTCAATCGATGCCAGAGATTTTTTGGAATAGTAGTCCCAAAGCAATATAGAAATGACCTGATAGCTATGATGAAGAATAAGGAATTTCTTACTCATGTTAAGGAAAGAATGCATGTTGTATTGTTTAACTGTATCAATAAGGTCAATGGGATATAGGACTAATAATAGGTATCTTAACCTAAATATGTAATTGGAAATGGTAATAATAGTCTGCTTGTGAAGAGTGTATTCAAATCAAGACAATGGTGGGTTCAGAATGAGAAAGAGGAATTCAATGAGAGTCATTTTATATGGACTTAATGGCTTAAGGAAAGACATATCTAGTCCTTACCGACTACCTCTAAGAAAATGGAAGCATCAAATTAGCAGGATCCGCAAGAAGAAAACTTATTTGCAACCAAAATCTACAATAAGATGCAAAGTAATCATAATCTTAGTGACAAAAAGCACTTGTTCTAAAATATGAGAGAATACTACCAATAAATTGGCATTGATCCATTCAAAATATTACCTTTAACATATGTCATTGAAAATGGTCTGAATGATGTAGAGTTTGATAAGTTCGAGGAGAAATTCAAATTCTTTGCCAGCAAGTAAGGATTTGAGAATGTTTGGATCATCAAACCAGGTGAAGATACTAATAGGGGCTGTGGTATTATTGTATCAAAGGACTTTAATGAAATTAGATAGCTTGTAAGAGATAAGGCATCAAGAGGAGTAGATAAAACAGCTATCCTATAAAAATACATTGAAAATCCACTCTTGATAAACAAGCGTAAGTTTGATATGAGGTGCTATGGACTACTCACATCTATAAATGGCAATCTAATGGGATATTTCTATTAGGATGGTTATCTAAGAACCTCTTGCAAAGAGTTCAATGTTAATAATCTTAATAATAAGTTCATTCATTTAACAAATGATGCTATTCAGAAATTCTCCGATGACTATGGAAAATTTGAAAATGCAAATAAGCTCTCTTTTTAGGACTTTGATAAATATTTCGAGAACAATGGAGAGTATGATCTTAGATTTGCCAGAGATTTCCTGCCATAGATAAGAACTGTTATTAGGGATTCATTTAGAGCAGTGGAGAGTAAGATAGACCCAGAGAAAAGACACAATACCTTCGAAATATTTGGCTACGATTTCATGATAGATGATGAGTATCAATTGAAACTAATTGAGGCTAACACAAATCCCTGCCTTGAAGTATGCTGTCCACTCCTGGCTAGGATCATTCCTAATCTGGTTGACTCAGCATTCAAAATTGCAGTTGATCCACTATTTCCGCCGCCAAGTGCTAAAAAGAACGCCTATGCTTGGGGAGGAGGCACTGAAGTACTAAATGATATTAAATTCGAATTGGTGTTTTAGAGTCAATCAAATTCAAGTTGATAGCAATATATATTATTAAGCTTTATTTCATTTTAATTAATACATTTATATTAAACATAAAATTTTTAAGCACGGGGTTTTGGGGTTTTGGGGTTTTGGGG